TATGAAGATTTAATTGATTAGATATCCAGGAGGCGCAGCCATTACGTCCAATCTTGATAAAGGACAGATTCAGTGCTAAAGATATATTTTTTTAACCTGTTTAATACTCATTTAATTTCAAAGCATTTCATTTAGACAAAGCACTGTAGTCTTTTTAAGAACAACAACAAAAAACGTTTAAATGCATGAGTTATGAAAAGAAATTTGCACCCCATTTTATTTTACCCATTCAATCATACAGAAGTCTGTTGTCCTGTAGACTTTATTAGTTTATTTCTGTTAACATGTCTCCTCGGTGAGTAGTCTAGTTACTTTTGAAAAGGCTGATGGCATATGAATGATAAGAGTGCTTGTTAAATCAAACTAATAGCTCAGACTATGTGATGGGTATACAGTAATTATCAGAAAGCAAGGTTATAACTTATAACAAAAGAGTTTGAAATTGTTATTCACTCATAAATTCAAGTTCTACAATGTCTTTTGAAGCACATTCAGCAAATAACCCTTGTTTTCTTAAGAACCATTTTGTTGTTGTTTAAGGTTCTTGGGTTGGCTATATGATTCTTCGGAGATTAATTTCTCCAGGGCTGCGTTTCCCAAAAGCATCGTAAGCCTAAATTGATAGTCGAGACCATTGGTGGTAATTGTCATATGATCAACTTAAGCTTACAATGCTTTTGGGAAACGCAGCCTAGATCAGCGCATTATATTATGTGTTCTTGAAATCCAAAGAACGTTGATGTTTTTCTGTGGAACTTGAAATAAAGGACTTGTGGAACATAGAAAAGGTTATACTATATGGCATCACACTGCATGCTGCTTGGTTCTAATTCGAATCTTATTTTTTTATTTGTAATGAAACACAATTTGGTACTTGCTATTGCTAGTCAGAGGCAGTTGGTATTATTCATTCTAGAAAGCAAAAATCTTTATGCCTATTGCAACAAGTGGCATAATTTCTTGGAAGAGAAATTGTACATTTTAAATGTGCATGTATGCTAAGCTAACTTTCACAAATTTTAAGAGGAGACAGATGGCCTTGAATACAACAAAAAGCCACCATTTTGATGTCATGGAGTTTATAAAAATTGCATGTTGGCCATTTAAGCTTAAATTATTCAACCAAATATAATTAAATCCAGTTTTGTATCAGAAATCTTCCATGAACCCATTCAAAACATCTGTGACTTCCATCAGATGTGTCAAGCCTTTGTATATGAGACTGCTCAGTTCTCTAGGATTTTAGCATCTCTTAAAAATGAAACTTTGTTGTCATCTATGGTTCCATGAAGAAACTTTAACATCCATGGATCCTATCCATTGAACTAGACACTCTTAGAAATAGGAAAGGCACAGTGATGCCATAAAATAAACATTTAGGTTCCCTAAATAACATTTTATGGAATGGATATGTTCGATGTTAAATGTCTTCATGGAACTAGATTTCATTTCCAATCCAAGAACTGTTATTTTTAAGAGTGGATGCTAAACTTGACACAACAGATGGAAATCACAGATGTTTGAATTTTTAAGAGTGAAGGTTCTTTGTAGAGAAAAAAAAAAAAAAAGTTCTTTAGATTGTTCTTCACACTAAGGAATATTGTTTTCAATGGTACACTTATGTAACTTTTTAAAGTTTAAAACTTAAATAATATGTCAACACATCATTAATCCTTCTTCCAAAACGTGCTTTTGTTTGACCCTGATTCACTATGGTAAGGTAAGCCTTTTATAAGTATTTATAATTTAGACCTGTCGGGACGGTTTTTACAGGAAATCACATACACTCGCCTGTGCATGTCTCGTCATATCCATAAATAAAGAAAAGTTGCTCCGGCTACTGTGCAACTGTATAGTGTGTATGGTGTATGGTGTACGAGTGGAATAGGTGAAGTTGTCACAACGAGCGAGAACATTTGACATGAAGCATGAAGCAGCTAAATCTCGATCCTCCAAGAAATCACGTTTTTTTATTTTTATTTTTAAATGTAGAACAGAGTCTGCTAGCAAAAAGAGAACGTGACAGAGCTCGCAATAAAAGGAGGATCAACATTGGCTTGGCATTTGAAATGTAAAAGCGACATGGTGTTTTTATTGCTCAACAGGTGAGTAAGGTATTTTACTGAACAAATAAATTGCCATATGTAACTCTCTAACAGAGTTCATTGTAAATCATTATCTATTATGAAGGGTCATATTAATCAGCACATGCAGTCCCGAGCCGAAGCACAACCAAAACAATGTTCTTCCACAAAATACATGCAGTTTTGTTTTTCTTAACTGCTAAAGGGCCAAAAGTTACATAGTGCAGCTTTAAGAAATATTCAATGACAGATTCTTTAGGGAACCCAAAATGGCATCACTGTGCCTCCCAGTGACCCCAGACACATAGACCACACTTTGGGTGAAAGCTCATTTGTATAACATAGTGTACAAAATAATCAAAAAACAGTCTGTGCCCTTTTCAGTACTCAAACATGTTTAGTTACTTTACCAAATATACTTACAACCATTTCAATCTCTCAAAATGTCAAATAAACTCAGTCCTATGTGATTTCCAAGGGTCAAATCTATACATGGTTTGTACACAGAAGGCCAGATTAGAATACCTGCTGATCTTCTTCCATAAATTATTGTAATGATGCATATCTATCTTATGCATATATAACTGTGACCTTTGATCTGATTTCTCCAGAGTTTGTTTTCCTTTAATGGCTGTCCTGGTTTGAAAGCAAACAGTCATTTTGCAGTTTCGTAACACATATCATAATGGCCACAAACGAGCCGGAATTCTGACCAACAGAGGGATTGTGGGAGGGGAAGAATTTACTGCCATCCGCCATAGAGGGGATTACCCCATCAAGACGAGGAGGAGCCTGCCCAGAGATAGACATCCCACAACCCTCAGAGCACATGGGCTCTGCCAAAATACGTAATAACACATTAATATAGGAAAGAGAGGATGGTTTATGAAGCCGAAGAAGGCACATAACAGGGATCTCTTGGTTTTAAGGAATATTTTTGAAACCTTTTGCACCCATAAAACAGATTATACACATCACCCAGTTACAAATTAGTGGGACTAAATTACAATTTGTCAGACATACAAATCATTCATCATAAAATTGTTCAAAACTTGCACATTGATACCTATTTCAAAATGTGCATTCTCGAGCCACCGAACACCGTTGTCGTGCAAATGAACGTCCAGAACACAATACAAGTTTTCAGTTGAAACGGTGTCGTGTTAGCGGCCCCTAACTAATGATCTTTGCAATGGAAGTGAATTAATCAAAAACTAACTTTAGCTGGACAATAACTTTATTCTAGAGCTGCTGTAAAGCCAAAACAATCTGTTACTTTAATTTCCTATTATCACTGTAAAGCTGCTTTGAAACAATATTGTTAAAAGGGCTATATAAATGAAGGTGACTTGACTTGACTAAAATGGCTGGATAACACAACACTCTTTTATGATACGGATTGAGCTAAACTGCAATTGATAATACTGGAGTCTGTCACGAGGTGACTGTCCATTAATAGCTTGTTAGAGTTCATAATTAATTCTAGTTACAAGAAACATACTTACTAGGATTTTTTGTGAGTCATGATTTCTGATGTTGTCGTCCATCTGAAGACTGATCTAATCATTGCCAGTAAATGCATCTCTACCTTTGGTAAAACCTCATAATCATTGGTTTGGGAATGGCTTTTGATAGAGGTCTGTGAGGGCATTAAGTTGAAGCCCTAACAAGAGCGTGTGACCTCTTCAAGCATGTGCTATCTAATTTTGAGACACCATACAAAAAACAATCAAAACCTTGCTAAACCGGTTTCGGGTTCCCTCGGGCTCAAATCAGGTACCAGACCTCAGACTAAGCAGACCTAAGCTGATTAAACTTAACTTTCTAAAAAACATTTGGCTAACACATCTGAAATGACTCCAATTTGTTTGATTTTAGCCGAAGTGTTCAATCAGGCCTTTGGAGCACAAAACAATGTCGGAGAATCAATAACACCATTACAGGAGGACATATAGTATTTTGCAAATCACCTTTGGAGATCCCAGGTTTTCCACACCAGTCGGCCAGTAAATTTCCATGACTTTTCTGAGGTGAATTTCTTAATCGTGGGAACCACTGTAATTTCAAGGGTTAGAAAAATTCTTAGGTGAAACCGTGAAATCCTCATCCAACCGTTTTGTAGCTAAAGCTTATCATTTCAATCAGCCTCAAAGGAAAGTTGCTCACCATTATCGGTTGTGTCCTTAAGCTATCAATCCAGTAAGGGCTGTCTCAAAAAGCCTTTTAGTCACATAGGCCTATAGCCGTTTTGTTCATCTTATGGAGAATACAACGGTTTCATGGCGATTGTCCAAACATATGCCAGAACCGTTGTCAGAGACAGCTGGAGAACAAGATGAAAAAGTTGAGTGATAAACAGAGACGTGGTGAAAGAGTTATACATTCTTGCATGACAAGCCAGTTTTTCCTGACAGGATATGAACCTTCAAAAACATGTATTAGTGTGTTTAAAATGTTGTCCTATCTGCTGGCAAGTTGTTTGACATGTAAACCTAACATAACTGTAAAACATATAGTTTTGTGATGGGCTGTTTAAAGCAAAAACATGTAAAGCAGCAGGAACACTGACTGTGTGACCAGTCCAATCTTAAACTGGAATGAATATAAATTTATTTAGGAATATTTCCAAATTTGTAAAAAAAAAAATTCTTATTGAACTTGTTGTTTTGAGTCCTCTGTACTTTGAGTTTGCAGCTTGGTGCTTTGTTTTATTTTATTAAGCTTAAAAGTTCAGCACTATGACAAACACTGCAAAAATACAAGCAATAACTATGGCATCTAGACTAAACAATAACATGAAGTTCACAGATTCCAGACAACATTATTAATCCATTTATGAAATTGTCAAAAGTCTTGCTAGCATCTCTTTTAGTGTATGCATACAATTTGTCAATCCTCAAGCAGTGTACAAGGAAAGAATGAATGAATCAACAATTTATTGGTGTACAAGTCTGATTCAGTTTGTGCTGCAATAAAAAAAAAGTACATTACAAAAAGCATTATTTAAAAATCTCTTTCATTACACTAATGCTTTAGTGTCAGATTTGAAATGTACTATATTAGTATCATGTGTTTTCTTTTTTTTTTTTTTACAACCGTCCAGGTCTCTTATATAATGATAAATAAGAACAACATAAAAAAAAAACTTGTGTAAATATATTAAACAATTTACTCTAAATAAAGTAGTGTATGATTTACCCAATGAAATAAATTAAAGCTGAAGTACTATGACAGCTCTACATCACAGTTGTTCAGCAGTTTGTTGAGAAGGTATTGATTACATTATGTCCAATCATACAGTATCTATAAGGCTTTAAAAATAATCTACAAGTGTTTTCAAAATAATCAGTTTTACAAAAAGTGCATTAGTAGTATTGGTCAAATATACGGCATGTGTATCTACAATGCTTTAAAAAAACATTGTCAAGAGTGGTCCATTGTCAATAGTCCACTTTTCTAATAGAAATAGATAGTAGAATGGTCATTCCAGAATTATCATTCTGTAAATATTTTAAAAATAACAATAAAAAATTTAAAGAAACACCTTTATAATAACAATTAAATAAAAATATCTTAGTGTTTTCCATTTGACCAACTGGTGTTCCTTTAAAAAAAGAAAAATCAATAAGCATATTGCCAAAGACTGTTCTGATTGGCAGGTGGATTCAATTGCAGACCACCACCTTATACTGTTGCAACAGCAAATACCTGAATAATGTATTCAGGTATAATACTGATAGAAATATAGAAGTTAGGCAGACAACATATGAAAAAAAAAAAACTATCAAATTCCAAGCAGCATTAACAAAGAGCTTCAAATGTCAACATTCCAAGTCAGTAGCAGGACATAATCTGCCTGAAACTAAGCAAATTAGTATTGGCACGGATGTGAAAGCAGCAAATCACTATAAATAAAGAAGGCTGTGATGATTGTGTTAACATTTATGCTAATGTCGTTGCAGATAATGCTAAAACACCAGATTTGGCGGTTCTTGAAACCCAAACGGTGATCCAGTGAAGGTTCAGTGTCCATAAGAAAGTGATGTTGCCTGAATGGTGCCAAGTCTCCCATTCACTTGTCGTCTTGTCTGTGTGACAGGGACCTGTAAAATGTAAAGTCTTAATTTGTCATATTTGTGTCATTTATTCAAGAGACAAATACTTTGTGTTGCCAAATGTGTTGCCATTATCCCCTTTTACACAAATTACCGTTTAGAGATCATGTGTTAACAGGACAAGGTACATTAGTTTAGGCATTTTTCCAGTATGAGGTGGTAACAATTAAATTACCGGTATGATGACAAATAACAAAGATAACAAAGAATAGGATTACGTACAGTACGAGGTAAGGTAAGAAGTTTGCTTTGGGCCAATCATAATGCTCTGTCAGAGCTGTTTATGGTAAGTTCCGCTGCTTTTAATTGTTTTTCTATGTAAACATGCGCTTGATGGACATCTGACTCGAGATGAGAGCTCGAGACCTTGCCTTTTCCATTCATCAACACTGCTCTGCAGTAGCTTTTGTGTACTATAGTAACTGCAGTACTGTAGTTACTATTATGAGTTGTGTGTTTTTAGGAGCAAAAACATATTTTGTGTGATAATCCTCTTGCGCCTGTCAGAAGTACCAAAATATTATGTCAAATTAGACAGATAGTGAAATTAAAGCGCATCCTCTCATCCTGGTGCACACAGTGTTTAAAGGTAATTTACTGACAGGGCTTGACAGTGTAAGTTTTTTACTCACATTTGCTTAAAAGAGATGTGTGCAAACTGTAAAATGTAGGACCACATATGCAAATAAAAAAGACCCCCCCCCCCCTTCCCTCCTTAGTTGTAGGAAATTTTTATATTTTGAAATAACAACATCATTTGACAGTATAATTTTTTTTTATTCTAGTATTTTTTAAAATACACTTCTCTTTATGTCCACCAAAGCTGCATTTATTTGATCAAAAATACAGTAAAAACACTAATATGAAATATTATAGCAATTAAAAATGTAAAAAACTAGCAGCCGTTTCGCCAGTCATCATTCTAATATGCTGATTTGGTGCTCAGGAAACATTTCTAATTATTATCAATATTGAAAACAGGTGTGCTGATTAATATTTTTATGGAAACCAATTTTTCAGGATGCTTTGATGAATAGAAAGTACACAAATACAGCATGTATTTGAAATATAAATCTTTTATAACATAAATGTCTTTACTGCCACTTTTAATCAAATTAGCAAATGTATAGCAAAGATATTCCTCCACATGGTTTTTAAATAGTTAGCTAAAATGTATTTTTGTTTATCATAATTATTGTGATCTTTGTATGCTGATGCCTGTTGTGTTTTCTATAATTTTAAGGAAGAATAGTTAAATACCAAATGTAGTAAATCTACCTCAAATCTCATAAGTGAGGCCAATAATGAGCCTCTTACCTTCCTAAGTCGTTGAGCCCCAGAGCCTGAGCGAATGGCATCCAGAAGAGCCTCTCGGGCCGCCTCTGGGTTTCCTCCAGCAGGCAGCACTAGAGGGGGCTTGGCTGGAGCTGAAGGGGGAGGTGGTGGAGGACTGAAAGCTGGAGGAGGGGGTGGCACAAAAGCAAGAGGAGAAGTGGGAGGAGGCGAGATAACATCTCTCTGGACATTTCTGTCCTCCTCAATCTTCCTGAGCTGCTCCAACTCCTTAGCTGCACCTGATTTGATCTAGAAGCACAACAATGACGTAGTATTTATACTTAACTGACAATCACAACCAGACTGCATCTAAATCAATTTAGTTTTTTTGAAAAAATGAACAAACAACATTCTTTATCAAACAGGTTTCCCAAACAAAAACTCCACCCATCTCCCAACTGGTTCTAATGTTGCAGTACAATGATTGGCGACCCCCAGAAATGTAATCTATGAAGCTGTCTAAGGCATGGTCATTTACCTTTGCTCTACATAATTTTGTGTACAAAATCATAGTAATCTTAACGGGAATCTGTACAATAAAATATTTCCCCTGATGGAGTTTTAGTGGAAGAGAAATTCTCCTACGCGAATATTGAGATTGTTCGTCGTGTAAAGGTGTGGTAACCTTTAAAAGTTGCATGTCAAAATTGTACAGTTGAAATTGTTTAAACTTAATAGGAGACCAACAGAAAGCTGCTTAGTTTTAAAGTGAAATTTTGCTGATGAGCCCTCACTTTAATTGTGTAACACTAAGTCATGTAAAGGTATGGTCATATTTACTGTTGCTTAGAAAAATGTATAGGGTGAAACCCAGTCATTCCAATAGGAATCAGCACAGTCAGAAATGTTGTGATGTTGAAAAATTCTTGACAAAAACTTTACATTGGGATAAAGATGGTCAGCAAATGTGCCATGTTGACCAACAGAAAGCTTTTTAGTTTGAAAGTGAGTTCTGTTTGAGCTGTATTTGGAGCATTGCTACACTATTGACAATGGCCCATTAAATTTTGCTTATGTGACTGTGCCTTAATCAGGGTCGTAGAATTTAGTAGGGGCGCTAGGGACGTGTCCCTACCAATATCCAGTGACACTGATATATCCCTAGCAATAATTTCGATCAAAACTTAAAATATATTTATATATTGATGTCCCTGTCCCCACCAATTTCAAAATCAAACCTACGCCACTGCCTTAAATTATACTAATATTTAGCTTACCTTCTTCAGTCCGGCAGAGTTACTTGAAGCTCTTATTGCTGAAAAAAGTGCAGAACGCTCATTCTCTGCATCATTGTAAGATGGCTTCTTAACTGTGCAGCTGGTAGACATGTCAGATACCTGGACAATGTGAAAAGTAATACAATGATTTTATATTATACTATAATTAAATTATCTTTAAGAATCCTAGCTTAATAAGATGTTCTAGAAAGCTGATAAACATACTTTCATGCTGTGACTCATAGTTTACCTTTTTGAGGCGTTCAATGCCCTCTCCAGACTGAATGGACTCCATTAGAGAGCTATGGATAGAAGTTTCCTTTTGGACAGACTTAAAAATAACAGGCTTAAACTTCTTAACTGGTCCAAATATGTTACCCATGTCTGGTTCAGATGGAATCTCAGATTTGTATAACTCTGGCGTCTTTCGAGCAGAGGATGTGTCTGGGAACTTATTGATTGATGTGGCTTCTTCAGAGGAAGATTCCATGTGTTTAATGTGACCAGACACATGTGTTGAGGGCAGGATTTTGTTATTTAAGGGATGTGAGTCCAGAGATTTGAGAGAATCTTCCCCATGCAGAGTGCCTTTTTCAATACCGCATATCCTCTCAGAACTTGCTGGCTTTTCTGCAACATGACTAGGGTAACTTTGCAGGCATTTAGGATGTCCAAAAGAAGGCACAGTATTTTCAGTGGGTTTGAAAGTGGTAGTAGGTTTGTGTATGTTTGTAGGTCTAACCTCATTATTAAACAGATGATTGACAGGTTTTTTGACACCAACAATGGACTCTGATGGCGCCTGCATGATAACTACTTTAGTATTGGGAATGCTATTGTTTTTAGCAATGGCAGAAGCTACGTATTGGCTGGAGGTTCTTCTGGAAGGTATAAGAAAAGAAAGATCACGCCTTTCAGCTGTGAAAGAGTGATTCTTTGGAGGTTCTGGGGATGTAGGCTTACTTCCCACTACAGATATGGACTTCCTTTCCAATATAATGACCTCTTTGTGTGTTTCCTCAGGAGGTGTTTTCAGTGAAAGTTTAGAGACTCCAGACACAATCAAGGGTTTGAACACATCGATGGTTCCTTGGTTGGTTGCAGTTGATTGGTCTTGCTTCTCTGCAGTGCTCCAAAAGGCTTTGGCTTTGTCCAATGGGGATTTTTCTGCACAAGTATCCACGTCGAGATTGCCGTTTTTTGGTGGGCCAGTGGAAATCTGTTTCCCTGTAACCATGTTGCCCTGTTCATCAATCTTAATGGCACCTAGGACTAGAGAGCCTGTAGGTTTGGTCTGGGACACAGACGGTTTTGGAGGGATGACTGTGAAGGTTTTCATTCCAAATCGAGAGAACGAACTTTGGGTGATCTTACCCTGAGTTGTTAGGACTCTGGTAATAGGTGCCCTGTCCTCATAAGAAGGCTCTGTTCTGAACTTCTGGACCATAGGTGCAGATTTTAGTCTCTCGTCAGTAACCTTTTGAACGGTTTGAACAGCAGGACGCACAAAACTTTGGGGCTTCTGTGATACAATGTTTTTCTGACTCTTTAGTTCTTCAGTTTCAGCTTTACTCTTAGTCTCTGAGCTGAAGGCTGCCTTCTGTTCCATATTGTCTATGTGCTTAGCATCTTGTGATAACTTCTCATTGGATAGAGATGGACTTGTGGTTTTCTCAATAACTGTGAGTGTAGTCACTTCTGACTGCTTCTCTATGTCTGGAGATGGATTTCTGTGTTTCTCCTCTGTCAGGCAGGCATTGTTGTTTTTGTTTTGGATAGCTTCACATGGTGTACACGATTGGCTGGTGATGTTTTGCGTGGTGCTCAACAATTCTGCCTCATACTCGCTCATGCTGAACCGGTCATCATCAAGAACATCATCAATGGTTGTTACTGGAATGTCCATGTCAACAATGGACACAGGTATTTCATCATCCACAAACACAGATGCTCCTCCTGAGTGATTAATGTCTAATATACAGGAAAAACACAGTTAGTAAATAAATGAATAATTCATAGGGCTAACAGTGTTATTGGTATGGCCGTAACTAAACTGCCAGGAAACATGTTTACCTAAAATAATTCCTAGCAATACACAGAATGGATAACTGAAAGAAGAAAATAGGAAGATTTTTTAAAGGATCATGAAACACTAAAGTAGATTAAGTAAATTGGTTTATTTGAAGCTTTTTTTGCAACATTTTTGGTTTAAAATCTTCATTGTGTCAACATCACAGGATGACTCACCAGTATCTCATAATTATTCATGAGACTTCAATGCAGAGTACAAATGTAAACAGCTGTGCATTTATTTGTGCATTAAATTATGGCTGTATATTGGTTCATTTTGTTGCATGTAATGGTGAATTGCAGCATGCATTTGTGGGAATCAACTCTATGAGAGTGAAAAAAGACACTGTTGTGTTGCCTGTATTCGCGCTCCACTCCGCAGCTTACCACACTCAATGTTGTAGCATTTTTCAAAACTATGGTGAAAACTAACAGGTTTTTTTTATGACCCTTTAAAGTATTAACGAGGAAGCACAGTTTATCCATGAGTAATTTACCTGCCAGATTTGCATCTAGATTGGCCAGGGTGAGGTGTATCTGTGCAGTAATCTCTGGATCTTCTTCATATCCATTTTGTCTCTTGATTGACTGCTGTCCTCGCTGAATATTTCCACTACTGAGAAATCAATAAATTATCTCAGCTGGTTGTGTATTTGTAACAAGCAATTATTTGTATTTGTAAAAAGAAGTGAACAAATTTGTTAAAGCTGTCCCTAGAATCACTATACTGTTTAAGGTAATACTGCATTTCTGTTCAATAATAATAAAAAATTGCATATTTTTCTAGTTATTACGTTTATTTTGTGCCTTCGGTGTAGCATGCAAGTCTCACATGCAAGGTGTGAGTCAGTGTTCAATATTAACTCGATGAAACTAACACAGAACACATACATGACATTACAGTATGAGACCTACAATATTAGATGGGAGTTGTAACTCTTTATCCTGTGCTTATTCACATGAACACACGCCTAAATTTTTTTTTGTTTTAACACCCTTGGAAATGGCTGCTTTTACAGATGACCGAGTGGAAAAACTAATAGCCCTTTCCTGGAAAAAGAAAAGAGCGTGAGAAGACAGTATGGAGTCCTATAGTGGAGACAGAGCCGGAGCAAGGATCTTGAGGTGAGGCTGCAGGCTTTGGCGGAGAATCCGTACACATACATCTGGAGTAGTCAGCACTTTCAGCTCCATAAAGCAAAGTTTTAAAAAGCCAGACTCCTCAGTCAGCCCTGGAGAAACACTGGCTGGCTGGAAAAGGATAAGCGTGAGACTGGCTGAACTGTGGGAATGAATTGATGGTGGTAAACAGAGAGAATGAGAGAGATAAATCCTTTGCTCTGTCTCCACTCTGCCTGGGAGAGCTTTTGATTCCTATCCAGCGGAGAAATACAAGTCCAATGAACCTATTGATCTTATGGAGTTCAAACAATGTGAGATAAGGTGTGGTGAATATGACTATTTGTTGTTTAAATGTAAAATATCTGAAACAGTTATAAATAAACTAATTGTTTCATGCTACTAATAAACACTTGGATTCTAGATTGGTTTGAATCTGGTTTGGAGCACCCACTTTTCTCATCGAATATCCTATTTCACTTGGAATAAGGGAAGCAAATTTCAATTAGCACAATGGGTCAAAATTGGCATTTCATGTTGACTCTAAGGTGGTAGCTGGTTTTTAGAACATGGAACAATTGTTCAAACTACTTGTTGGCTAGTCCAAGCTGGTTTAGATGGTTGACCAGCCAAACTATAGTACCAGGAGGTAGAGTAGGGACATATCTACTAGGGGTGTAAATCTTTAGGCACCTCACGATCCGATCCAATTCCGATTCCGATTCTTGGAGTCACAATACGATTCCAAAACAGTTAATATCAGAGGTTTTGTCCAGTCAGTTGAATCGTTTAAGTCATAACTGACTGTTTACATTAATTTTGCATCATAAAAGCATGTTGAGATGAGATGCAAGTGCATTTAACCGCATACACGGGATTCACACATAACCGCATGCCGCGAGCGATCTTCACAAAGCGTACGTGAGTATTTGAAAGCAGCTGTCTGTCAGGTAGTGAGTTTCTTGTATTAAATAGACCTGCTACATTCTAAATGGCATAAACGATGCCTTTGTAGAGAATTTTTAGGGGAAAATGCTGAAATACCAAATTGTAAGCGTAACATCAAGCAAAGTTGTTCACCCTCCTTTGCAATGAAGCTTGCGATTGCCCTTGTAATCCACTTCAACCTTTTTGAACGTTATAGAAGATTAGTATATGTAAGGTTTGAGGGTTTGTGTGTGAGTCCATGTGGAATTGGAAGCAAGCAGAATTTGGCCATCATGCATTTGCGGTTAAAAAGGAAACTCAGAATCGATTCTGGAAATTTGTTGAAACTCAGAATCATGATGCATGATCCATGATTTTTCTCCCACCCATAATGTCTGCAGTGGTAGACCATCTTGGAGTAGCAAAAAAATGGATTTAGCTGGATTTTTAAGGGGAACGAATTACATTTTGCTTTTCTATAAGCGTCACCTACTGTCAAAGATTGACATTTTTTTTACCGAACATTCGTGTTGGTGTGAACAGCCCTGTACCAGAGGCTTTTGTTTGTTGTGGTGGTCTATAGCTAGTGTAAACGTGTACATGTGCATACCTTTTTCTAGAACCCCAGGTCGCACAGCCCTCATCACTGTCACTGGAAGAGTCTTTGGACTTTGCAGGCAGAGCTGAGGCACTGTTTAGCGACATGATGTCCACAGGTGAAATAGATTGTACCCTTTCAGAGGGAGAGACTAGGCCGGACTCTTCGGCCATGCCCTCTGATGCCGCATAGCCCTGGTCTGCAAAACTCTCACTGCTTGCCACGGACACTGTTTCCACTTCCTGCTCTGCCACCCTCTCCGACAAAGACTCATGAGCTGAATGCTGCCAGGCTGAAAGGGAGATAAAATGTCACTGTCATTAATGCCATAATGCAGAATTCCTCAAATCTGGTCCTGAATGGCCACTGCCCGGCAGAGTTAAACAAGCTAATCAAGACCTTCAGAGTTATTGGCTGTGCCCAAAAGCTGAAAAAATGCTGCCACCACATTTAGCATATGAAGGCAGGAAGGCAAAAAGGCATGTCTGAAACCAATGATTGAGACACATCCTGTCTACTGAGATACCTTCATCTGATCATGGTGACTGAAATTTGTGGTTGGTAGTTAGTTTGTGTAAATGTATGTTTTTGACCAACTTCAAACAACTTCAACTTCTAGACATTTCTAGAGAGAATTAGTATTGTAGTAATTAAATATTTGCTTAGTTGTCACCAAAGCTCACTTTGTTTTCTTCGATCATTAGATTGAAGCATCCAAAGCCTGCCTCCAAAGCCTGTTCGAAATACGTATTGTGAGGTACCTTTGTGCGCAAACGCTACCTGCGAAGTAATTGCCTGATAGGGCAACGAGGCAACAAGTCAGCTGCCTAAGCTTTCAGACACAGCCACTAGAAATTTGATCAGGGTTTGATCTAAACTCTGCAGGAAAGAGGGCCTCCAGGGCTGGATTGAGGGAACCCTGCCATAGTGAGTCAGTACTTCCGATTGGGTTAATTATGTAACATGCTTCATCAAGTCCAAAACCAAAAGAACAGAATTAGTGCAAAATGTGCATGTACTATCTGTTAAAGAGAGTGTTATGTTAATATTTAGAGCTTTGAAGTGCTGGAAACGGTGTGAACCAACGGTGTGAACCATTTTTCAGCCTCTGAAAAAAAGTGCTTGAATTTCACTCTCAAAAGGTTGTACGAACCCTGTAGTAAATAATGTAAAAACATTTATATATTTCAGCCACAATCCCATGGTTACAGTTAACATTACTACATTAAATCCATGGTGAATGTTGGTTATTTGTGGACTGAAAAGCCTTTTATAACTTGTTATAATGTTGTTATGTTTCTCCTGGTTTCCACGTCAGTGCTGTTTGATCTGATATCTATGGTTTACAACAGAGAAATCTGTGCCAAATTTGAATGCTTCTCACTTGCAGCGATGTAATTAATACTGCGCCGCATTCAAACGCTTTCTCACTGGATCTCCCAGTGCTGTGTAGTAACGGTGTCACGTGATCAAGATCGGCTTGCGAGTAAATCTGTTCAGAGCTTGTGCTGTGCTGTTTAATATTGCTCTGAGCTGATAAACGTCCATGCCGCACAGCTCAGGGTTTTCAACTCTTTGTGCGTTTTGGCCGTTCATTTACAAAACGGTTTGGTGGTCTGACTTTTTCAAACTTTTGAAAACGGGTTTCAAAGTGCAAGTTTTTGAAAATGACACCCTTATCATCTCTGTGTAAACTACAAAAACGCGTTTGGAGTTTGATGTTTTTCATATGCAACAGAAATGGCAGCTATTGTCAGTTTGGCAACGTGATGGTGCTTGTCCTGGATCATTTGTTGAAGCTTGTTAAGATGGTTACCTATTAAGTTCCGTATCAATTACAAAGTATTACTACTGACCTATAAAGCCCTAAATGGCCTAGCTCCTGTGTATTTAATGGACCTTCTATCGCCCTACAATCCATCGCGTTCTTTAAGATCACTAAAATCTAGGCTTCTGTTCTGGTCATTCCTAGGATATCTAAGTCCACTAAAGGAGGGAGGTCGTTCTCACATTTAGCTAAACTAAACTCTGGAATAGCCTTCCTGATATTGTTCGAGGCTCAGACTCGCTGTCCCAGTTTAAAACTAGATTAAAGACGCATCTCTTTAGCCAAGCATTCACATAATGCTTACCTTTTATACCACTGTTGAATCAGATCGAATGCATTAATATTATGAACAGCAGCTATGCTAATTATTTCCCATCTACTTTTGAGGTAAATAGCGTTCGTCAGTTCCAGTTTGTATCCAGCCTCTCACGGAGACTTCAGATGCCCCAACATCTGTGATGAGACGACTCGACGCCTGTGATATGTTATGCCCTAAATTAATACATGATTACCTAACTGTATTTTTTCTGTGTACATTTCTGAAATGCACTTTCTGTAAAGCTGCTTTGAAACAATATGTATTGTGAAAAGTGCTATACAAATAAATTTGAATTGAAATGTGTGCTATTAGTTATGTGAATGGACTGGTAGACAATAAAATGTTGGGTTGTTGTTTGAATTGCATTTGTTGATTTTTGGATGTCTTTCATTACAATGATTGTTTGATGTCTTCTTTTTTCTTATTGAATAATTGGTTAGTTTGCTAATGGCACTTGTCTTTTTTCAGGTGTAAGGATTTGCTTTGAGAATGTAAAATACCTTGTTTGGTCAAAAAGTCGCAGATAAAGTTTCATGGGAACAGATAAAGCAGTGCACTGTTGAGACTTTGAATGAACCATATCTATGGAAAAAACACTTAGAACACCTTAGCACCTTAAAGTTTTGCAAAGACAAACACAAAGCCAAAATAATTTGGTTGCTCTTTTTAGGCCTAAACAGATGTGATCTGTATTTTCTCTGTTTCTTGTATATAAAAAATGAGACTGTGAATAAAATCAAATGGAATGCGGGTCATGGATTAACGCCAAACATAACAAACCATACATAACTCACTTGTTCTCGAGACACCGTTTGTGCAAATACATGTGTTCCAACACTGTCCTATTCTTCAAACTGCTCTCTCTCTTTCTGCTGTTCCTTTATGACCTTAGCGCATTGATTGCTCTCTCATTCTCTAAACCCTAAAATCTCTCACATAATCACCTGTTATTACAATAAATGCAGATGCCTTTTTCAGGATATTAAAAACAGACAGAAGAGATGAGGGAGGTTTTAACTGAGGAACCTCAGGATGAACTTGGTGTGTTGTGAAAGTGTGTGTATGTGTTCAGGTTTGGTAGTTAAGTTGAAGAGAAGCCTGTTCCTGGATTCATTGTGACTCACAAGCTCTTTCCCAACGATTTCCCAGCAGAGCTCATATATACGCCAGCTGCAACCACAGAGAGAGTTTACGTGCACGTGCACACACACACACACACACACACACCAACACACACACACACACACACACACACACACACACACACACACACACACACACACACACACACACACACACACACACACACACACACACTATCGATTAGTGGCACATGGCATCTTATGTCATGAGTAAACACTGTCACATCCACAAAATTAGACATTTTCTTGAAATCAGAGCCACACTACTAAGTCTGATATTGTTTAAATCTTGATAACAAACACAACCATGCAAAGATCTTACCAACAGGTCAACGTGCAAAAAACAAAACAAAAAAAAGCACACCTTACGTTGTGTCAAACCACACAAGGAGATCTTCCCAGGTGATAAATCATAGTGGTGTTCCTCTGTATTCAATCTTTGGTTTATTTCCAGAGCAATCTGGCATTAGATGCATACTTGCAACAGGAGCCATAAGAAGCATTTAATTAAATTTCTTAGTTCCTATTAATAGCACAAAGCAATGGCTTATAATAAATTGTAGTTCCCTTTCGAAGGGAACTCAACAATACGTCATTCGACGCTATGGGGAACGCCTCAGGCGTGACAGGTGTCTGAAATCACTATCAAATCACGTCAATCACATTGACCGGCGACAGCCCGTGAATCATTAGCGTGAATGATTAACGTGCGACCTGGAAGTATATAAGGGCGCCTTGCAAACATGACAAATCATCTCATCGTCTTCAGGGACTGTTTTGTCTGTAACTGCTTTGAAAATCAGGTAATTATGAAATGCTTTCAGAAGTGTGCAGACCCGTGCTCAAGATATCTGAAGCCGGGTGACACACGCGAACTGTGCATTTTCTGTCTGGGAAGGGAGACGCGCACAGGCAGTTCTCGAGGGAACTGCCTGTACAAATTGTGATCGCGCCGGTCCCTCTTCTCGAGAGAAGAGGGTTCAGCGTCTGGATGTCACAGATGAAGCTCGCCGATCGCCTTGAGAGGGGTGTAATCCTCTCAGACGAAGCGGCGGCTGACGAGAAGCTGCATTTGGATGAAGTAAAAAAAAAAAAAAAAAGGAAAACTTAGTCCGGCAGCAAGCGCTCTCCCGGACAAACAGGAGATGGCTGATGAGGGTTGTAATAATAAGATATTTTCCTGTATCTTCTCAGCTACCCTGCCCCGTGTATGCTGAGCTGGTGGTATTATAGAACGCGCCGCGGACAGGCTGCAGCTGCCGTGGCTGCTCGTTGGGGGAGAAATCGCTCGCGATGAGAGCGGTTTTTCCCCGGTCATAGAACCACCAGCTCAGGTGAGCCTTTCATTTCTTCCCGATCTCATACTGAGATCGAGAGGACATGGAAGAACCCATACTCTGCCTGTGTCCACCAACATCAGCAGGCTAGTCTCGCTGATGTTGAGAGGATAGGAGAGCGTGGGTATGCGTCGATGGGAAAACAATCGACACTGAGAGCTCAAACCCTGCCAGTTGAATGGTAGAGCATACACGTCAGCGGGTCAGGCCGGTGCTAGCCTGCACATCATGGCGGTGTTGCAGGTACACCAGGCCAATCTGCTGGGGGATCTCGACCAGGGGGTGGGGCCCCTGAGGCGGTTACTGAGCTGCGCCGCAAATGAAAAAATGTGTGTATATATATATATATATATAGATATAGCTCTCCGGGATGGCGACGATACTGGCCACGGAGAGACATTTGTGGTTGAACCTGGCCGACATCGGGAAGAAAGAGAAAGGCTTTCTCCTCGATTCGCTGGTTTCGCCCTCTGAGCTTTTCGGCACCTCCGTGTTGGCGGTGGTTGGAAAGTTCAGAGAGGCGAAGGCGCGCTCAGCTGTATCCAGGACATACATACCGCTGAGATCCGTGTCCACGCCCAGACAGATGGGAGGGCCTGGCCTATCATGGTCCGAGGACCTTAGATAAGGCCAGAGAGCCAGTGTCATCTCTCGTGCGCCTCCTCC